AATCTGGGTCCTCATTTTACCGACCTCGGAAGGATGGAAGGCTGAGTCAACCTTGATCAATGGGCCCTATCCAATAAAATGAGTTTCAGGGTGGAGATTTACATCTAGGCAGGAAAAATCAAAGCTACAAGTACGGATTGGGCGAGACCTGGCTTCAAAACAGGAACTGTGAGAGGGACCTTGGAGTCCTAGTGGACGATCACTTAACCATGAGCCAGCAGTGTGCAGCAGCAGCCCAAAAAGCTAATACACTCCTGGGTGGTATAAACAGAGGCATAGAATCAAGATCACGCGAAGTATTAGTACCGCTTTATACAACCCTAATAAGACCACACCTGCAATATTGCAGCCACGTTTGGTCACCATATCACAAAAAAGATGTTGAGAGTTTGGAAGCAAATTAGATAAGAACAATTAAGAAGATCAAAGGCCCTGAGAGTAAAACATACGAAAAATGGCTGCAGGACTTGTGTTTGGCTAGTCTAAAGAAAAGAAGAAATAGGGAGACAGGATAGCTGTATTCCAGTATCTGAGGGGCTGTCACAAGGAAGAGGGGGTCACGTTCACACAAAGCACCAGAGGGAAGGACGAGAAACAATGGTTGGAAACTGATCAAAGAGAGAAGCAACCTGGAATTAAGGAGAAACTTCCTGACAGCGAGGATAATTAACCAGTGGAATAGCTTGTCCCCAGAAATCGTGGGCGCTCCGTCACTGGAGAGTTTTAAAAAGAGGCTAGACAGTCACTTGTCTGAGATGGCATAGGTTCTCCTGCTTGATCAGGGGCTGGACTAGAAGACCTGCAAGGTCCCTTCCATCTCTATTCTATTCTTGGTTAGCACCAAGGACCCCTCACATCTAAATCAGCACGCTCACCTGTTTCCCAGATCTAAACTGTCCAGATGGCCAGCGTGCAAATTGTTCACCCTTCCAAATTCTGGGACTGACCTTCTAATTCGACGCATGCTCTAGAGCCTGGGGACTTGGCATGGAAATCCCATAATGGGGTCCAACTCCCGGGTCCTACAAACCCTGGTGAAAAGGTGAGGGCGGTGCAGGTACGTACGTCATGGAGGTGATTGCGATGATCGCTTGATGAAGAATTCTGACGGACAAGGGACTCACGGGCTCATTTTCAATGACTTCCTGAGAGGAGGAGGAGGAGGAGGAGGAGGAGGAGGAGGAGGAGGAGGAGGAGGAAACACATCAAAGCAAGCTCCAGAGATATGGCCACCATGCAACTGGCTCTATTCCCACCCCTATGCTTTTTCTGCTTGATACAAGAAGTCCTCAACTTATAACTGGTCGCTTAGCCACCATTTAAAGTTGTGACAGATCTCTCCAGGACTCCTTATGACCCAGATCCGAAGTTCCGAGAGACGAGTCTTCCTCGGGGGTCACCTGACAACCAGCCTGCACTTAGGGCAGTTAAACCCGTCCATTCCCCACCATCCAGTCAGAGCTGAAGAAGCTTCTTGGAGGGGAAGCGAAACGTCTTCAAAGAAAAACAAGGAAATCCAGTTGCCTCCTGAAAAAGCACCTTTGGGGCAACGAGTCACACAGCGTTTTCTGCCTTGTGCCCTCCCTCTGCTGAACACCTGGTCCTTACAGTCCTGCCTTCTCTCGCTTTCCCCACATCGTCTGTCTGCACGCTAGCCTCCTCCCCTTTCCTGCTCCCTTCTTTTACTGCTGCCATCATGGCGGGGAGGCTGGGGGTCCCTCTGTGCTTCCGCATGCTCACCGAGAGCTCCTGCCCTGGGGGGCGTCTGCACGGTGTCTCACCCCACTTGAGAGAACCTCTCTGTGCCTAGCCACCCTTGGCCAAATAGACCACAACCGTCCTCCACTGAACAGCCACCCATTTAAGGACCATGCGAAGTTACAACGGCACTGGAAAAAAGTGACTGATGGTGGTTTTTCACACTTACGACCACGGCAGCATTCCCTACTGGTCACCTGGTCAAAATGGAGTCACCTGGCAACTGGTTCATACGGATGACGGTCGCAGTGTCCCTGGGTCACGTCATCCCCTTTTTTGCACCAAGTCAATGATGAAGCCAGATTCACTTAACGACCATGTGACTAATTAACAGCTGTGATTCGGTTAACAACGGTGGCAAGACAGGTCGTAATATGGGGCAGAATTCACTTAACAATTGTCCCACTTAGCAACAACCATTTGGGGCTGAATGGCAGGCAAGGAGAACCTGGTATATTCCATAGAATTCCACCCAAATTCACTTTCCGAAATAAATTGTCCCGGGAGCACCTGTCCCCCCACTTACATTTATATTGAGGGCCAGTTCAGATTTGTGGGGTAAATGGACATCCTGACTCTTGGTCTGGACAAGAGCCTTGGTGATCCTGATCACGGACGTCAGGAACGCTTTCGTCAAGGCTTCATCCTGGAAAAGGCAGAATCCAATTATATTTCATTTCTAGTGATCTACTATGGAAAAAACCCATTTCTGCTCTCTCTGGATTCTGCCATACTACGAAGGGGGAGGGGGATGAGCAGGGGGGTTTTATGGCTCTCACTTCCTTCCTTAAACTTCAAAAGGACTGGATGTTGATTCTCACCAAGAGGACTGACCATAACAATATGGCCATCGCCTTTCATCTACTCCTCTCTGAAGTCTCCCTTTTGCCGGCAGTAAGGGAAAAGGGGGGGGAATTTTCACCCGGAAGAACTGTGGAGTGGGGGCTACTTGGGAACACTTAAAACATTGAAGGATAGGAGAGAACTCCTCAGATCCTGCCTAGAATGCCTGCAACCATCTTCTCTTAATAAAGATGCCTGTTGGAAGAGATATTCCAAGAGTTCTGTCTTCTTAAAATGTAAAGTCGGGTGGGTCCTTACACAGGGTGGATAGCGGAGGGTTAGAGGAAACCAGAAGGAAGCACTGATTGATTTAAACCTCAATGCAGCCAACCACCTTCTGTTGAACTCTGAGGGGCTGCCAATCAAAATATCACCTGGACGTTCTGAGTTCTGGTTCCGCCGTAGGCATGAAAGATGGCTGAGTGATTTTGGCCAGTCACCAGGAGACTCTGAGTTTTTCTTCCATCTTAGGATGAAAGCCAGCTGAGAGACTTTGTGCCGTCACCCAAAATGGCGAGTTCTGGATGGGTAACTTTGGGCCAATCACCAGGAGACTGTGAGTTCGAGTCCCGTCTTAGGATGAAAGCCAGCTGAGAGACTTTGGGCCAGTCCATCTATCTCACAAGGTTGTTGGGGGAAGGAGGGAAGACTATTATGCTTGTCCGCTGCCTTGAGTGTAATAAAGGCGGCTTGACCCTCCAATAGATAAATGAACAACTAGCATTTAAACATCTACTCTGCAGTCGGAATAGGGGGCGAATCTGAATTAGAGGCCTAACTGGGGGCTGGAGGGTTCCTGCTGATCCAGAGATCAGGATTCTTCCAAGCAACTCTGTCGTTCTACTCTCTTCTGCCTCTAAGATGGGCAGTCAGAGAATTCAATAGAGGGGGGTCTTTGTCGCTCAGGGGTGGTGCTCTGCGAGCCAGCTGGATTTCCTCAGACATTCCTTGTATTTCCTCACTAGCAATGCAAACCCAGATAAGCGGTGATTAACACCAGAGAAACTATTCAGTGGTAAACAATAGATGAAGGAAATATGAAGAAGAAAAACAACAGTCCTGCCGGCATTGACAGGGCAAGCCACTCGTATGTAGAAGGAGAACAAATCCCACTCCCTTCTAGCACTGATAACGTTACCTAGTTGGGTAGGGAAATATCTGCAAGAAAACAACTAAGCAGAGAACACCAAGGACTCTACTGTCCTCCTTCTCCTTCTCCTCCTTCTCCTCCTCCTCCTCTTTTCCCACAATGCACTGATAACATTACTCAGCTGGGTCATGAAATGTCTGCAAGAAGGCAACCCAGCTAAGGACTCCAGATTGTCCTTGTTCTCGCAATAAAGAGGGGAAATAATGAAAGGCGATTCTGGACAATAATCACAGGAGGTTCTTTTTCCATCTTAATTCAGCGGGAAGACCGGTGACATGACTCCCCCCTTTCTGAGAAAAGGGCAAAGAGAAGCCCAGGGTGGAAGCCAGCCTACCTTGTTCCTGGTCCAATACTGGAAGAGAATCTCAGAGACAATGTGTTCAGCTAAAGGCATCAGGTCCTCTGGCTGGGCTCCCAGGGCTGCGTGGCCATAGCACAGGATCACGGCTGTGCGAATTTGTCTCTCAAAACAAGAGTGTGGGTCCTGTGATTACAAAGACGGGGGGGGGGGGGGAGGAGTCAACCTGTTCTCCAAAGCACCAGGAGAAGAAGCAATGGATGGAAACTAGCCAAGGAGAGAAGCAACTTGGAATTAAGGAGAAACTTCCTAACAGTGAGGACAATTAACCAGTGGAACAGCTTGCCTCCAGAAGTTGTGGGTGCTCCATCACTGGAGGCTTTCAAACAGAGACTGGACAACCATTTGGCTGAAATGATATACAGTCTCCTGCTTGAGCAGGGAGTTGGACCTAGAAGACCTCTGAGGATCCTTCCAACTCGCTTGTTCTATCTATGTTCTTTGTTGTATAATAAACAGAGAAAGAACTGTACCGGGGGGGGTCTATAAACACCCTGAAAGAGCTCTGAGGCTGGATCAAGTCCTGAGACCTATTAGATCAGCGTTCTGGATCCCAAATGGCCCACTGGATGTCTTTGGGAAGTCCACATGTCTGGCCTCCAATTGGGGTCCCTTTTCCACCTCCACACTGAGATCCAGGAAGTGGTCATCAACCACCGGAAGGGATGAGGCGATAAGAACTATTCTCCATCATCCCTCGGTCCAATCCCCTTCTCAGTCAGAACAGAAGAAGCTTCTTGGCTGAGAAGTGAAAGGAAGGAAAAACAAAGTCCAGTTGCCTTCTGAAAAAGCATCTCTGGGTCTACTGGAGATGTTTGTTGGGGCAACTCATAACCTCCTCTAGCGTTATAAAACAGCCCTCCGGGAGGTGGAGATGGAGAATTTCCACCTCCCAGCGCTGGTAACACGTTGGACTTTCCTTCCCAGAATCCCCCAGCGTTCTTCTGTCCTGAGTCTCAGACCTTGCAAGCCCATCTCTGGCCTTACCTGAAAGGGGGCTTCTTGCAGAGCAGGTTTCTTTGCACGCACAAAGTGGCCAACCTGCCTCAGGGCCACCAGGATCTCAGGAAGATGGCAAAAGGCAACCACTCCGATGGCTTCAGAGATTCCCTAAGCAAAGCGATGCTTGCGAATTAGGACATTTCAACATTTGACCCGTCATCGTCTGTCTTTATTGCAGGCTGCTTCTGTGACAAAGGCTAAGCAAGAGCCACCTCTTCTTTGCTCTCGAGGTGAGCCACATTCTGGAGTCGTTTGCTCCCAACAAGAGTGGTCCATGGGTCAAAAATAGAGGTCTCCAAACTTTAAGACTCGGGGACTTCAACTCCCAGAATCCCCCAGCCTGCAACTTTTAAGACTTGGGGACTTCAACTGGACAGCCATTTGTCCGAAATGGTTTCCTGCCTGAGCAGGGGGTTGGACTCGATGACCTCCAAGGTCCCTTCCAACTTTATTAGTATTATTATTACTATAACTCCCAGAGTGCTGGCTGAGGAATTCTGGGAGTTGAAGTCCACAAATCTGAAAGTCGCCAAGTTTGAAGTCCCATGGTCAAAAACTTCATGCCAGGATGGAACAATTGCCGCATTGTGGCCACCATCTTGACGCTTGGAGCCTCCCTGTGGAGACCCAGCTCCAGTCCTTCACCCTCTGCCTACCTTGTTCTTCCTGCCTCTCTAGGAATAAATTTATGAGCCAGTGGAAAAAGGATCATCCTCTTTCGGTCAAGAAGAGTCACTGATGTTATCGTCTTATTATTGTTAATATACGGGTAGTCCTCAACTTACAACCACCAGTGAGCCCAACATTTCTGTTGCTAAGCACGACATTTGTTAGGGGAGTTCTGCCCCATTTTACGACTTTTCTTGCCAAGTTGTTAAGTGAGTCACTGGAGTTGTTCAGTTAGTAACACAATTCTTAAGTGCCTCTGACTTCTCCACTGGCTTCGCTCTCCAGAAGGTCGCAAAAGGAGGATCAGGTGACCCTGGGAGACTGCAACCGTCACAAATAGGAACCAGACATCCAAATTTTGGTCAGGTGACTCTAAGGATGCTCCGACGGCCGTAAGTTGGAGAAACGGTCATAAGTCACATTTTCAGTGCTGTCCTAACTTTCAATGGTCACTAAACGAACTGCCCTACTAACTGCACCCTTCTTTTTATTCCTTCCAAGCTTTGGGAGGGTGGACAGGAATTAAATACAGGCAGTCCTCGACTTACAACCATTTGTTCTGTGACTTTTCCAAGTTAGAGCATCCTTGAAGAAAGCAAATTTAAAAAAGGCATTGCAGGATTCCCTTAAAAATTGTGGTGATTCACTTAAACAACATAGCCCCAAAGGTCACAAAATCCAGCACAATTCATTTAACAACTGCCTTGTTTAGCAATGGAAATACCAATCCCACTTGTGGCCGTAAGTTGAGAACCACCTGCAAAAGGAGAGCAATCCCCTCTCCCTTCCAGCACGGATGATGTTACCTAGCTGGGTAATGAAATGTCTTTAAAAACAATGAAATTCAGAGAGCACCAAAGACAGTTCTCCTCCTCCTCCTCCTCCTCCTCCTCCTCCTCCTCCTCCTCCTCCTCCTCCTCCTCCTCCTCCTCCTCCTCCCCACAAACCCCACTCCCTTCTAGCACGGATGATGTGACCTAGTTGGGTAACAAAAGGTCTGCAAGAAAGCCACCCGGCTCGGAGAGCACCAAGGGCCCCACACAGTTGGAGGGCTCAGCCCCTGCAGAAACCCCACTTCCACTCACTTCTCTGTCTGTTTCTTCTTGAAATGAAAAACCTAGAAGATTTTTCAGTTGTTCCTTGACCAGGTCTTTCTGTCTCGAGTTGCGTAGTTTCACCCCGTAGTATTTGTAAAGCGAAATCTGAAGGTTGGGAAAAGAGTCAGGGAATCGTAGGGAGGTCCACCAATGGGTCAGGAAAAGGAAAAGGGGGACAAACTACGCTCAGAAATGGGCACCGTGTGGTCAGCTACTAATGAAGGAGAGAAGCAACCTAGAGCGAAGGAGAATTTTCCTGACAGTGAGAACAATCAATCTGGCCTCCAGAAGTTGCAGGTGCTCCATCACTGGAGGTTTTTAAGGGGAGACTGGGCAGCCATGGGTCCAAGATGGCATGGGGCTTCCTGCCTGAGCAGGGGGTGGGATAGATGACCTCCAAGGTCCCTTCCAATTCTGTTATGCTACTATTCATTAGTCTGTCTAATCTCGAAGAAATGGTGGAACGGAATCATGAAAGGAACGATGCCAAAGGAGGGACAAAATGAAACGTGAACGACAAAAATGAAAATAATTCTTTAAATCATTGGAAGGAAATGAGTTGGCATTGTGTTGGCGTTGTGTCTAGGACAATTGTGCCCCCCCCCCAAGGGGAAAAGCTCAGCATATTTACCTTCTCTTGAGGCAAGAGATGGGAATGACTTTCTCGGAGCGCAGACTTCTGGTGGAGGGAGGGAAGTCCATCCGTTTTCCTCCTGGGCAGTTGGGGGCCTGCAGAGATCTGTTGAGGCAGCAAGAAGGAAGGCATGGAGGCAAAGCGAAGGAGCAGAGGGAGGAACGGGTTCCCTTGTGTGTTTCCAAGGAAAGCATCCCTTTCCCTTCTGCCTCAGTTTACTTGACTTTTCTAGCCGGGACAGACACAAGGCACGTAAGAAGGACCCTCCCGCGTTGTGTCAGCTGAAGCTGAGGCAGCTTTGGAGAGGAGCTGTTGGAAAATCTCTGCCACAAATTGTGAGAACACTTGTTCGCATGAAGACCCTAGATTTGCTTCCTCTGACTGGAAGGACAGGCAAACAACCCGTCTCCAGAGGTTGCTGGCCCTTGATTTACAGCCATTTATTTATAAGGAATAATTTACAACCGAAAGAAATGACTTCTGACCGTTTTTCGCACTTATGACCATTGTGCGGTCATGCCATCAACATTCGGATGCTTGGCAACTGGCATGTACTTGTGACGGTTGCAACGTCCCGGGTCACGTGATCCCCTTTTGCGACTTCCTGACCAGCAAAGTCAAGGGAGGAGCCCGATTCCCTTAACAACCCTGTGACTAACTGAACATTGGCAGGGGTTCAAAGGTCGTCAAATGGGAACAAAGCCCACTTACAAAATGTCTTGCTCAGCCCCCTAAAACCTGGGCGGAGTTGAGGTTGTAAGTCAAGGACCCCCTGTACAACTCCAGTCTCCCTCCCCCTGGCTGGCTGGCTGGCTGCGCAGGCAGGAACTGAGGTTAGTTCAGCAGACGGACAAGACTATTTGCAGCTCAGGGTTGTGAACTGGGGAGCCCTTATGCTCTCTGAGCTTTGCACATGTTTCAGGGCCAAGCAAGGTAACATCATCGGTGCTAGAAGGGTGGGGAGGGGTTATGGGGAGGAGGAGGAGGAGGAGGAGGAGGACTGTGGAGCCTTTGCTGCTCTCTGAGCTTTGCAAATGTTTCAGGGCCAAACTAGGTAACATCACTGGTAACATCAGTGCTGGAAGGGAGTGGGGTTTGCAGAGAGGAGGAGGAGGAGGAGGAGGAGGAAGATGGTGGACAATGAGAACTATGGGCTTTTTTCTTGCAGAGTTTTCACGATCCAACTAGGAACACCATCAGGGCTCCAAGGGAGAGGGTTTAGAGAGTGGAGGAGAAGAAGGGGAGGAAGAAGGAGGGAGGAGAGAGAAAAGAGGTGGGAGGAAGATGGTGGAGAACGAGGAGGACTATGGGGTCCTTGGTGCTCTCTTGGTTGTTTTCTTGCAGACGTTTCATGACCCAACTAGGCAACATCATCAGTAGTAGAAGGGAGTGGCATTTGCTCTCTGTTTATACCCAGTAGCCTGCCCTGAATAAGCAGGGAGCGAGCCTCACACCCACTAGCACTGATAAGGTTACCCAGTTGGGTCGTGAAACGTTTGCAAGAAAACAGCCCAGCTCAGAGAGCACCAAAGGCCCCATAGTTCAGCACATTCTCCACAACCCCATTTGTCCACTTTGGGATAGATTATCTCCACGGAGACAGCCCTTGCTTCTGCACCCTCTCCGGGATGGACCCCTGGAATCCCCCTGACACAAACCAATCTGCTTACATGCAGGGAGGGACGAAGATGCTCCAGGATGGTATCTAGTATTTCCTTTTCATCCATCTGCTCCAACATCTCTGTCACAGATCTGCCATTCAGTGGCTCCTTGCTCTCCCAGAAGGTTTGGAAACATTGGTCGGAGAGTTCTGAGAAGGAGAGAGAGACTGGGATTGACGATGGGCAATTCCACGGGACAAACCTTCCCAAAAGGAGGAGAAAAAAGGGTGCGTAGGGGAAGACCAGGCTGAGCCCGAGGGAGGGAGGGGGGGAGGGGTCCAAGGCATCATTAGTCACAAATCCCTTCGCGTCCGCAGGAGATCTAAATCCAGCCCAAGTTGAATGTGTGTCTTTCTGACCTTTGTGGAATGGGACAACTCGCCACAGGAAAATGTAACAATTCAATTTCATTGTTTAAAATAAATAAAAAATCATTTTAATTTTTATCGTCCACATTTCATTCCTTTGCCATCCTTTCTTTCACGATTCTCTTCCACCATTTCTGTGATATTAATGTAACCCGCAGCGAGTTGTCCCTCGGCTAGTTGGCCACCCAAGTTGGCCGTGGCGAGTTGTCACATGGACCCTTTCCCTTAATGGCCAGCTGGTCAGATTCTTGTAGGGAGCTTCAGCTTGCCATAAATCTTCATGCTCATTTTGAAGTGACTGAACCTTTACAGAATAACAGAGTTGGAAGGGACCTTGTAGGTCATCTAGTCCAACCCCCTGCTCAGGCAGGAGACCCCCTGCCACTTCTGACAAGTGGCTGTCCAGTCTCTTCTTGAAAGCCTCCAGGGATGGAGCACCCACCGCTTCAGAAGGGGAGTCGTTCCCCCGATTAATTGTTCTCCCTGTTAGGAAATTCCTCCATAGTTCTAGGCCGACTCTCTCCTTCATCCGTTTCCATCCAATGTTCCTTGTCTGGCCTTCGGGGGCTTTGACCCCCTCCTCTCTGTGGCATCCCCCCAAATATTGGAACACTGCTATCCTCTCAGCCTGGCCCTTCCTTTGGCTTGACTGGCCCAAAGTCACCCAGCCCGTTGTCATGCGTATAAGGCAGAACTAGAACTCACCACCTCCCTGTTTCTGGACGGGTGTCTTAACCACAACCTCTAAGTGACTTTTGCCTGAAATCTATTGACTGAATTTATTTATAGGTCATGTTCCCAGACACCCATCTCGGGGAGGCACTCTGGACACTGTGCCGTGTAATCAGCGTATAAAGCAGCGTATAAAATTAGCCATAAAATATTAAGATTAATTTAGGATGACATTTTTTAAAGAAAAAATGGTAAGATTGCAACATTGTGACATTCCAAAGCAATAAAAATCCCAGGGTCTTTGAACAGGACAGAGCTGGAAGGGATCCTGAAGGCAGGAGACCCTATCCTGGGGGGACGCTGTATATTGGTATATCAATACTGGCGATCGTTCAAGGTGGGTGAATGAAAAAGGCGGAGGGGGGGCTCTCGTGGTACCAGCCAGCCCCGGGATTGTGTGGCCCTTTGTGCCTGCCACCCAAAGCCACACAGCCAGGTTTCGACCGCTTTGTGAAAGGCAAAGAGAATGGGGTCTCCCCTCCCCTCAGAGGGCAAAGGGTTTCCTGATAGAGGAGCAGCAGGGGTAGAGAAGTCCCCCTGTCCAGACCCCACCAGCCGACCTTCTTGGACTGAGGGGGTCTGTGGCCTAAGTTCTCTGCCTGAGGAAGAACGGCTGCAGGGGCTGGGTTGACCCCCCTCTTCTTTGTGGCAGCCCCTCAACTCCTGGATCGTGCTACCCCAAGTCCTTCTTTTCTTAGGACTGGGTATGGCCAAAGGAAAGGAGGACTTAGGGTCACATGATGCAGTATTTGAGGGGCTGCCACAAAGAAGAGGGGGTCCCCTTATTTTCCAAAGCACGAAGGGCAGGAGAAGAAGCCCTGGAGGGAAACGAACTTGGACTAAGGCGAACAGTGAGAACAACTTATCAGTAGAGCAGCTTCCTTCATCCCTGGAGGTTTTTAAGAGGCGACTGGACAGCCCCCTGTCTGAAATGGCATAGACTCTCCTGCCTGAGCAGGGGGTTGGACTAGAAGACCTCTAAGGTCCCTTCCAACTCGATTGTTCTGTAATAAACAGCTAAAGAACTGTACCCAAGGGGTAGGTAAACACCCTGAAAGAGCTCTGAGGCGGGATCAAGTCCTGGGACCTATTAAATCAATGTTCTGGATCCCAAATGGTCCCTTCCGGCTCTATTCTGATTGATGGATGGATGGATGGATGGATTGACTGATGGAAAGAGTGGGATGGGCTAATGTGATTGGACAAAGCTGCTTCCATAGATAGCCCAGCCCTGCTCTGTGTGTACCTGGATATAAAGGCAGGAGGGCCTTGGAAGGCCTTCTCCCCTGGGATAGGCTGCTCCTCTGAGAGCTTTCCCTCTCCGGCACCCTTGGCAAGGCCACGGGCTCTTTCTCGCCTTGCTGGTCGTCCGCCTGAGCAGTCCCTGGAGTGGTCCTCAGGGTTGTCCTTTGGCCCAGGTCGGGGAGCACCAGCGCTGGAAGCTGAACCCTCTTCCTGGCCTGTGTTGGAGCTGCGGAAGACTTCACAAGCAGAGGCAGGAGCTGCGTGGTTCTCCGAGTGGCTGCGTCTTGGGAAGTGGATGGGTGGGAGCCAGAGAAATGGGCTACCTGGCGGTCCCACTGCTGCTGGTCACGATTGACCTGAAGGTTGGACTCCTTGCTGTCCTTCTTCTTTAGCAACGGCAACTTGGTCAGCCTGCGACTCATCCTGCCGTGAAGAGTGAGGGCTAGAACTGGAAGCAGACCCTAACAATAAAGGAGAAGGTCTGTAACTCTGGGTTGAAATGAGGGGTCCTTGGTGCTCCCATCTCTCCTTGGGTGTCCAATCGTACATGGACATATAAAGAATTATTATTCTATTCTATTCTGTTCTGTTCTGTTCTGTTCTGTTCTATTCCACTTCACTCCACTCCACTCCACCCCACTCTACCCCCCCCCTATTATCTTTAATAGGAGGAAAGATAATCTGCAGAATCAAGGTTTAGTCTTACCTGATCTTCTAATCTTCCAAACTTTGCAAAGTTATTCTCTTCACTTGATGGATTTCCACCCTCTCCTCTCCTCTCCTCTCCTCTCCTCTCCTACCACCTCCGATCTTGTCCACTCTACACCACTCTCCTCTCCTTAGCTCTCCTCCGATCTTCTCCAATCTCGTCCACTTCACTCTCCTCTCTTCGACTTAAACACAGTACGACTCCTCTCCTCTCCTTAACTCCACTCTGACCACCTCCGATCTTGTCCTCTCTATATCACCCTCCTCTCCTTAGCTCTCCTCCGATCTTCTCCAACCTCCTCCACTTCACTCTCCTCTCCAACACCACAGAACACAATACAACTCAACTCCCTCCTCTCCTCGCCTCGCCTCAACTCGCCTCAGATTTCCTGTCCTCAAGCTTGCCTTTCTATATCTGCCCTCAGGGGTGACATCACAGCATTACTGATGACCTCACAATGGGCAGCTGATATCCTGACCCCAGGGGCCTGTAAGGACCCAGCTCACTTTCCATCTTGAGAAGGCAGAACGCCTGGAAAGTCTCTTCCAACAGGGATCTTTATTCAGAGAAACCGATTGCAGGCATCCTAGACAGGATCTGGGGGATCCTCTCCCACCCTTCCGTGTTTTAAAGTGTTCCCAAGCAACCCCATCCCACAGTTCTTCCGGGCGAGTCAATTCGGCAGATTTCTAGGTGTTAAGACCCGGGAAATATAGCATCCGTCCGCTCCATCAGCACGATCACTTATTTTCTCTTTTCCCAGATCCCAGGCATTGCAATCCCCCCCCCCCCCACGTTTCCCTCACTGCCAGCAAAGGGGAGAATTTCGATGGAGGTCTGGAAATGGAGTTGGGGTAACTGGATTTATTTTTTATTAGGTGAGAGGTTTTTCTGCTTCTCCAGCAGTTTCTTCGGTCTGAACCATTTGCATAGAGGGATTCTGGACAGGCAGAGAGCGGTTGGAATGTACCAACTCCTGAACTTCTTAGGGGTCATTATGGGTTCATGTGTTCTTCCTGGGGGCCGATGAGAGAGCAGCCCAGAAAATGGGGGACAGGTTGTGTCTGAGGCCTCCGTCTCTGTTGAGGGAAGGAGCCTCTGCTTTGGCACCAACGGATTCTCTCACTCCTCTCTCAAACTATGTTCCCTGCCCAAATGTGGGTGTTGTGTCCCCTCTGAGCCCCAATCACAGCCAAGGCAGGAGTTTCTTCCTTTGGGGCTTCTTTCCCACCTGATCCAGTGATGGCCAGGAAAGATCAGATGCTCCTCCTGAGCCCCAGGCAGGGACCCCAGAGAGAGAAAAGGGGGAAGAAAGGACCTCACAGCACCTCCAGGGCAATTACGAAGGGGGAGAGCAAAAGAGACGCTGCTTCTCTCATTCTGCAGCTTGGGGGCAAATCAGCCAGCAGTGTGTGGCAGCAGCCAACAATGCTAATGCAACCCTTGGTTGTGTAAACAGAGGGATGGAATCCAAATCACGTTAAGTTTTAGTATCCCTTTATAAATCCTTAGTAAGAGCATGATAGCAGCATTCTGGTATTTGAGGGACTACCACAAACAAGAGGGGGTCAAATTATTCTCCAAAGTACCAGAAGGCAAGACAACAGTTGGAAACTAATCAAGCAACTTGGAATTAAGGCGAAACTTCCTAACAGTGAGGATAATTAACCAGTGGAACAGCTGCCTTCAGAAGTTTTAGGTGCTTCATTACTAGAGTTTTTAAGGAAAGACTGGGCAGCCATCTGTCTGAAACGGTATACCATCTCAGACAAGTGACCGTCTAGCCTCTTCTTAAAAATCTCCAGTAATGCAGTGCCCATGATTTCTGGAGGCCAGCTGTTCCACTGGTTGATTGTCTTCACTGTTAGAAGTTTCTCCTTAATTCCAGGTTGCTTCTCTCTTTGGTCAGTTTCCAACCATTGTTTCTCGTCCTGCCCTCTGGTGCTTTGGAGAATAGTTTGATGCCTTCTTCCTTGTGGCAGTCCCTCAAATATTGGAATACTGCAATCATGTCTCCCCTGTTTCTTCTTTTCTTTAGACTAGCCAAATCCAAGTCCTGCAGCTGTTTTTCGTATATTTTAGTCTCCGGTCCTTTGATCATCTTAGTTGCTCTTCTCTAATTGGTTTCCAAACTCTCAACATCTTTTTTGTGATACGGTGACAAAAATTGGTTGCAGTGTTCCAGGTGTGGTCTTACTAAGGTTTTATAAAGCAGTACTAATACTTTTAGGCAAGTCTCATCCCAAATTTTATATTTTTAGAAAAAAATGGGAAATAAAATTTCACTCCAGGCACAAGGAATTTTAAAATTAGCTCCAGTTCAGGTTTAATAGATGCAGCTCTGATATAAAAGAGGCCCTACTCTTAACATTGGCAGGATTGAAGGGTGCTGATTGCTTCCTTGGTGTCAGAAGACATGGAGCACCACTGATATGTGTCATCAACCTAGAGTGGCACCAAACCTCATAGGTCTGGGAGACCTTACACAGCAGCCTCTTGAGACCAGAGGCCATGTTGAAGGACAGAAGAAGTCAATCCCCTTGTTATTGAACTCTCTTCACCCAGCATCACTATTCTGGAACGTATAGCTCCATGGAACGTATAGATCTATGTATTCCTAACTAGAGAGCAGGTATCAGTGTGTCAGAGTGTCTGGCAGTTATTGGGTTAAATGCTAGGTATATGAATGGGTCAGTGGGAGGAGTTCCAAAGGTCATCGGGAGACTTCCTGGACACAAGCCACATGGGAATCTCTTTGTCTGTAAGAAGCATGGGCCATGGAAGGTCATACAATGAGCCTGAGTCGTTATAAAGATGGTATGAAGAGCAATATCTTCTTACCTAAAGGGATGATCTAAAAGATGGACAAAGATGTATTTACAGGAGCATCAACCACAGTGTGAATGCAAATAATCTTTCTCATTAAAATATATTTTGTTTATTATATGATCGTTTCTTTTGAGTTAACTATCTGACTGGATTTAAAAGAAAGCATTTTAGATTCATGCCCTCCTTCATGCTCACCTGTCTGTCTTGCAAAAGTCTACCCCAACGGGAAACCTGAGAGGGCCGTAAAGATGTACGCCACACAGCAAAGTTACTATAGCTAAGCCCGCCTTTTTTGACCTCTTTGACCTCCCGGGTGAACTGAAGCATTTTGCAATAAATACATGCACAGTACCAATGCGCACAGCGGGGAGGAAAATCACTGGTCTACGCATAAAAGCGATAGATGGAATTTCACATTTTCGGTTACCATCAGTGTTAGAATGGGAGACCTTACCAGATGTTCGCAGCGAAATCTCAACACCAGAGGCAGCAAGAAAAATACCTCACTTAGCACACATAGCCGATTTAATCCCTCCTCTAGATCCTGAGGCTGAAATCCTACTCATGGTAGGAAGAGATGCCCCAGAGTCCATTGGCTCCGACGAAAGAATCAAAGGTCCACCAGGATCTCCAGTAGCTATTAAAATGGAATTCGGATGGGCCATAGGAGGTACGGTTTGTGTCGACCAATCGCAAATCCCAACCCAGGTGAACATCCCAAAAATCTCCATTCCCAGTAATGGAACAGCACCTCACCTAAAACCACCCCTACAACACTGCACGCTTGTGACAACCAAACCTGTTTTGGTAGCAACAGTGTTCCAACCGCACTTAGAACAACACTGCACGCTTGTGACAACCAAACCTGTTTTGGTAGCAACAGTGTTCCAACTGCACCTAGAACACTGCGCGCTTGTAACAACCAAAACTGTTTTGGAAGCAACCGTGTTCCAGACAAGCAACAATTACAACAACTTAGCTTTGTCCATAAAGGACAAACAAGACAAACAATGCCCCCAAGACTGGGAGTCATGGAGCGTACTCCCAAAATGTCTCCAAAGCATGCAAGTGCAGCGCACGTACGTCTCCAGCTCACCCGCTACAGTGCAGAAGAAAGAATTGTATGCTTCCTTAGATGTGTCTACGAAGGCGACTGCAGCCTTCTGATACGTCTCACTCTACAGCGGGGAGAGCCACACTTACGTTATCTTGTTTGCAACCATAAGATGCATCAGAGTCTACAGCGGGGAGTGCTGCAGTCTCAGTGTCTTCTTAGGGAAAGCGAGACTAGCAATACAAGAAGGCCACACCGTACCAAGGTTACAGCTATGTGGCACCACTTTGGCTGTAAAGCTGACCAACTTGACGGCAAAGACGTTGTGCCTTGAATTACAGTCCACCACCTTCTACGCAGACAGCAAGGTGATGTCAAGCTACATCTGCAAACAAAGCAGACACTTCTACGTCCATGTAAGCAACAGAGAGAAAAGGATTGAAACATCCTTAAGCCCCGAACAATGGCATCATGTGCCAACAAATAAGAACTTTATTAACCAAGTGAAGTGGCCCAACCTTGCCACACAGATAACAGAACTGATCTGGCTAGAAAGTCTTCAGCTCTTGGCCTGTCCAAATAGACAGAAGCCACATAGACCAAAACATTATGCACTTCCAGCTTCAGATCAAAGTGCCAACCTTCAACCTCAGACACCCAGTAAACGTCAACCAATCTGCTTCAAAACCCTGTCTAAATGGAGACACCTGAAATTAGGCATAGTTTTGATCGTCTTGATCACTTGTCTCAGCACCCCAAGAATTAGCCTTGTAGGAGCCTGCAAGGACTTACTGCCTTTCATGGATTCCATGTCATTAAATACAGCGACACCCACACATGAAGTCCTCACCCTGATGACAACAGTAGCAGCCCTCTTCAATACTCCACCGGTGGTTCCAGACCCTTTGGTTCTTGAGTATCCTGAGTCTTCTGCTCAAGCTGTTGTTCCTGATTCTTCACTTCCAGCTGCTGTTCCTGATCCTTCAGTTCCAGCTGTTGTTCCTGATTCTTCAGCTCCGGCTGTTCCTGAGTTTTCAGATGTTCCTGATCCTGAGTTTCCAGCTCCAGCTCTTCCTGAGTTTCCTGATGTTCCTGATCTTGATTCTTCAGCCCCAGCTGTTCCTGTGTTTCCAGATCCAGCTGTTTATGTCTTTCTAGGTTTTTCGGTTCCTGAGTATCCTGTGAATCCAATTCCCCTCGTTCCCGAGAAGCTTGGGTTCCAATTTTTTCTGTTCCAGATTTGGTTCCAGTTTCCTTCACAGGAAGAAGACCTTGTCTCACTGGGAGACAAGACTACATACCAGAACTATTGGCCCATGGGACTTGCGCACCAGGCCCACCCACTTGATGAACTAGTTTGCCCAGCTGAGGTCCAGATCGTGAAGCCACATGAGTCAGGTCGTGACTCAAAGACACTTGTACCAGGTTGATCACCAATTTGGTCCCGTTGGTGATGAAGATTGAACCAGAAGATTAAACCTCAAATTATGTATTGTCTTATGCATTGTTTGATGTAACACTTGCCTTTTTCATAATTGTGCATGTTTTATATTTACCTTATAGTTATGCATGTTTGATACCAAGTTTTACATATTTAGTCACAAGTTAGTTAACTGTGAGTATTGCATCCCCTGATGCTATGTTTTTACTATTTTAGTAGTGGAAATATAAATTTCCAAGCGGGGAGTATTCTGGAACGTAGAGCTCCATGGAACCTATAGATCTATGTAATCCTAACTAGAGAGCAGTATCAGAGTGTCTGGCAGTCATTGGGTTAAATGCTAGGTATATGGATGGGTCAGTGGGAGGAGTTCCAAAGGTCATCGGGAGACTTCCTGGACACAAGCCACATGGGACTCTCTTTGTCTGTAAGAAGCATGGGCCATGGAAGGTCACACAATGAGCCTGAGTCATTATAAAGATGGTATGAAGAGCAATATCTTCTTACCTAAAGGGATGATCTAAAAGATGGACAAAGATGTATTTACAGGAGCATCAACCACAGCGTGAATGTAAGTAATCTTTCTCATTAAAATATATTTTGTTTATTATATGATCGTTTCTTTTGAGTTAACTATCTGACTGGATTTAAAAGAAAGTGTCAGAATCCAATTATATTTCATCCCTAGTTATCAATTATAAAACCCCCCATTTCCGCCTTCTATGGATTCTGCCATACGATGAAGGGAAGGGGTGAACAAAGGGGCTTTATGGCCCTCACTTCCTTTGGTACACTTCAAAGCAGCTGATTGTGGGTATTGCCAAAAGAGCTAACCATAAGAATGGAGCTGTTGCCTTTCATGTAGTTTTCTTTGAAGTCTCCATCCAGCCGGCAGAAAGGAAAAGGGGGTGGGATTGTGATGCCTGAAACTGTCGCTGGAAGAGGGGGGTGATCGGGTGGGACTAGTGGGGAACCCCTTAAAACCTTGAATGGGAGAGCTTGGACCCCAAGTCCTGTCTAGAACGCCTGCAACCATTTTCTCTTAATAAAGGATGCCTGTTGGAAGAATTATTCCAAGAGTTCTGTCTTCTTAAGATGCAAAGTGGGGTGGGTCCTTACATTAGACATAAATATTTTTTATTTTCCCTTATCTCTTTGCTTTATCCTTTTCCAGTCTCCAAGCCCTTTCCTCTGGATGTTATAAGATTTCCCATGACTGTTTCTGTCTCTTGTCTGTTTGATGCAGTCAGGGACACAAGGAGGAAGAGGTGGAAGAAGGGGGGACTCAACACAAGGCTTCTGCACACACACACACACACACACACACACACACACACACACACCTTAAGGTTTTTTTTTTACAATGTTTCCATCCACACATCACATCCAGTCCTTTGCACTTGCACCAAGACAGTCAAAAGCTTACGAAAGGGGCGAAGACGGAAGCTGCTCCTGCAATTTCCTCCCTCCCTTCCTTCTTTCCTCCCACTGCCATTCCTTTAGTAACCCCTCAAAGTCACAACACTGAAAAAAGTGACTTATGGTCATTTTTCACACTTACAATCGTTGCAGCATCCCCATTGTCACTTGATCAAACTTCGGAGGCTTAGCAGTTGCAGTATCCTGGGATCATGTGATCCCCTTTGGTGACCTTCTGGCAAGCAAAATCTGCAACCACACAGTGATTCACTTAACAGCTGAAGCAAAAAAGGTCGTAAAATGGAGCAAAACTCATTTGCTTAGCAATGCAAATTTTGGGCTCAGTTGTGCTGTAAGTCAAGGACTATCCGTATTATTGAACTTCATAGAGACCCCCCCACCATCCAGGGGACGGATCCTGTTTGGCTCTTAGTCACAGCAGTCGAATTGTGCTGCCATTGTGGAAACATTATCAATCCCCCCAAAAGTCTCATTTCCAATGTGGGGAGAATGGGAATGGCTGCAAAAAATGTGGAAATAATATTTACAGAAAGCTCTGCAGGTATTCTTTCTTTTATTTGTCATTTCCAGGAGAAGAAATATAATAAAAAAAAATGAAGCTCCCAACTTTATTCATAAAGATTTGCTTGCTAAAAAGTTTATTTTGTGAGAAGATACAGAAGTGCAATTTATTGTAATTTATCTAATGGATACATAAATAATGATTTGCAGCAAGGACAATCTCACTCTTGGTGTTTGAAAATCTGTGATATTGATTAGAAATTGATGCGACAAACTTTGAAAGGAGAAATATAACAATCATTTCAAGGAGGAGGATGGGGGGGTGAAATTCTGCTGGTCCTGATGCCTCCCAGCACCCTTTCAACTGTTCCCTTCTCCTTCACCGCTGGGAAGAGGCTGCTGGGCTGGAAGCAACGAGAGGAGGAGGAGGAGGGGAGGTGGGCAAAATGGTGGTGGGGTCCTTGGTGAAGACCCTGAAGGAAGACCAAGAGCCTGTGGGGAGAATTCATAAATCTTACAACTGTGTTAGAAATATTACACAGGGAATCAACTGACCCGGGTCTCCACAAAGTTCTGATTAACAGCCTCCAAACTCCTTTAAACTTACACTAAACATAAAAATTAATTAAATACTTATTTCAAGTGGTAAACACACACAAGCAAGCACGCAAAACTCAATTAACAAAATGTAAGCATAATTACAGTTCAAACAAGGAGACTCAATCCACATTACTTGATTTAATCCACCCCTTCTCTGAGGTCGGCACGTACACACACTCACAGCCCTCAAGGGTCACCCTAGAATCAGCACACACACACTTGCACTCCCAGGAGAAGCCCCCCTGCAAAAGAATCGCTCTGCACCCCGTTTCTCTGCAAACCCCCTTTTTTGGGTTAATAAATAATTCTCCTTTCCTCACTGTTGCCAATTGTTCTTCTGACACATCAGATCTTTATATATATACACACACATTCTTTTTTTCTCTTACATACCAAAATTAAATATAAAATTCTGGAAGAGAAATTCAGGGTTGCTATCTAGAAGTTCTTACCTGCTCTGTCTTTCTTCAAACTCTTTTTCTGCAGTTGGTCCTTTTTCACCAAACGCTCCTTGTTCTTCAATTAGAGCTTGTCTTTTTCCGACAGCAGCCTTGAGATTTCTGTTGTCTTCCCAAAAATTATGGAGAAGAGAGAAAAATAAGCCCCCTTAGTTTTTTTACTCACATCGCCAAGTGTCACTACAGCCTTAATTATTTTTATAGTCCATTATATTTTGTTTTTTCCTAATCACATTTAGATATCTAAAAAGGTATCTTGTTTATGTCTGGCCTCAGGGCCCCAATCAATCCATTTGAATCTGAAAGAAAAAAGTCAGGATTGCTATCTAAATATTTCTCACCTTTTAAATTCTTCTTTAATATCGTTATTTCCTCTCAGGACTTCCGCCTTCTCCCCATCTTGTTTTTGAACCCTGCAACTCAGATCTTGATTCTGCTTGACTTTCTATAAATGATGAAGAACAGAGCAGGAAATTTCATGAAATGTAAATTACGCCCTGCCTCTTCTTGATGTGTCGTAAGATCTTCTGAATGCCTGAGAATTTGGCAGTTGTGTCAAGGAGAGAGTTTAAAAACAATCAAAATCATAAGAATTAATAAAATATGCCACTAAGGACACTGAAAAGTTCAGCTTCTGTAAATACCTTCTGCCCCTATGAACTACTTCATTACCCTCATTATTTAGGTCCTTCTTGTCATACGCACATAAACAAAGACACTTCAGGTTTATCAAACCAGATTTATTTCCTCGGTCACTTTCCTGATGGGTAGCCAGGTGACATCAAAGAATTATCAATCGGAACTGAGATCAGATCAACTGAATATACTCCTTTTTCATAAATTTGCTGAATACTACTAAAATGGTAGTATTTAATTAAAGAATTATTGAATTACTGAATTTGTGTAGCCACACATGTCAAATCAGTGACTTTGGGGGGCAAACAACTATAAAAAAATAAAATGAATTGTGAATCAGATATTTGCTTGATAATTTTCCTTCATTAAGAAGAATTTCTTCACGGTGATATATTTCATGGTCATGAGAGGAATTACGTAACTTTGTTTTCCATAAAATAATTTATGTCAGAATCCAATCATATTTCATCTTTAATTATCAAATATAGAAACTCCCAATTCTGCCTTCTTTGGATTCTGCCATAAGAGGGAGAGAAGGGGGAGAACAAAGAGCTTTATGGCCCTCACTTCCTTCAGTAGACTTCAAAGAGCTGAATGCTGAATGTGTGTTTATTGTAACCTATTGTAACCTCAAAGCGTTAGCATCCAGAGAACATTAGCATTAACAAAGAAGAGTATTTGCCTTTCATGTAGTTATCTGAAGTCTCCATCCAGACGGAAGAAAGAAGAAACGGGGTGGAATTGTGATACTTGAAACTATCACTGGGAAGGGGGTTTGATTGGGTGGGACTACTGGGGAACCCCTTAAAACCTTGAATGGGAGAGCTTGGACCCCAAGTCCTGTCTAGCATGCCTGCAACCATTTTCTCTTAATAAAGGATTCCTTTTGGAAGAACTATTCCAAGAGTTCTGTCTTCTTAAGATGCAAAGTGGGGTGGGTCCTTACAATTTCTCTGTGATGTCAGCAGAGAGAAAGAGGCTGTTAGGCTAAACTTCCTTTTTAGGAAAAGAATCTGGGATACAGATATACAAATAAGTGCACATTTATATCCATGTCAGTATTTCCATACACATGTGCAACCCCAATTAACTGCTGTAGATGCTCCACAGGGCAATAAAGGTTATTCATTCTGAGGTAGAAAATGATCATTTTAGTTGAATTGTTTACGAAATGTAAAACACAGTGGTTCACACAACATGAACCATCTCAATTTTATTTCAATGTATTGGTATTAAACCTGGCTAAGGAATCTAGATAAGGTGGCAATGAAGAAGCCAACCAAGAATTAGATGAATTCATATATTTAGTGATAATTGCCATTATTTAATAGAAATTACATTTTTGCTGTCTTAAGCTTGTGGTAGAAACAGCTGCTGAAGAGATCTAGGGGGGTCCTCTCTCCCACCATGAGTAAACCAGACTTCCTGGTCTGGGGAGAGAGAAGCTAAAGCGGGGACGTGGGCGTTTGGGGCGGCCCAGACTCTGCGCAAGAAGTCAGCCCACTCTCTGAATGTTTTGAGAAGACTGGAGATCTGTTGAGGTATATAATATATAGCTGCAGTCAGTATACAAGACATTAACAATGAAAACAAACACGACTCCTTTGGGTTAGTCTATTTTTATTTCCTCGCAGATTAAATCAAAGTCCCTCCTTAACATTCTAAACTGGGTAAGACGTCTTTTAAAGAAATGTGTGGCCCCTTCCCCAGTATTTTTGTTACTTGTCCTTGCTGAGGCATGTACCGGACGGGCATCCCCTTTTGTGGGGCACCTGCTCTGCCTTTGGGGAGAAGAAGCAGTGTCTGGACCTGTGCCAGCCATAGTGCCGTGTCCAGAGCCTTTCAGGTGCTGTCGCCAGGGATTAGACCTATCCGGCCGTATGGCACCTACTGCTAAAGTGACGGGCAGCCCCTTTCACAACATCCTTCCTGTCTGTGACTATAAAGTCGCTTTTCCCCTCTTTACCTATCACATATGGCCACACCTGTGGGACAGCCACGCGTTCTGCTTCTTGTGCATGCACAAATTTGGCAGAAGAGCCCCAGTGTCGAGCTTGTGGTGGAAACAGCTGCCCGAGAGGTCTATCAGGTCCCCACTTCCCAGCACGAAGTCCTGAAGAATGGAGGCAAAAGGCAGGTCAGGCAAATTCAAATTCCCAGCATTTTCACCAGTTCCAATTAACGCTCAAGCATTTGCCAGGGAAAAAGAACTTCCCGGCAGATGCATGCCCCAATATAACAGCACACGAGCACCAACTCTAAACCGATGATGGTAGAGTCATAACTGGCAGCGCCAGTGACCACCAGAACCCAAGCCAAATTAAAACCACAACTGGACAGCCAAACCAGAATTGAATTCCAGAAAAGTTTGGAAACAGATGAATGGTTCCAGAAAAACAAAAATGTGTGCACAATGAGAGACGGGTTGCCTTGGGTAGGGGAAAAGTTATATATACCAACAACCCAAAGAGTCACATTCATGCAGCTTTCCCATGACACAAAATCAGCAGGGCATTTTGGATTTGTAAAAATTTTACACTTAATTCAATGGCAATTTTGGTGGCCATCCATAAAGGACATAGAAAGCTATGTAGCCAGCTGCCCAAAATGTGCAACTGCAAAGAGGTTGCAAGGGAAATCGCCAGGACTATTACAAACAGTGTCAAATCCCTCAGCCCCCTGGAGGGAAATAGCCATGGATTTTATAGTGGAATTGCCAGAAAGCAATGGGAATACTGTTGTCTGGACGGTCACAGATTTTTTTTCCAAACAGGTGCATTTTATCCCTTGCCAAAAGAGTCCCACTGCAAAAGTCTTAGCAAAACTTTTCATCCAGCACATTTACAGATTGCATAGGGCACCCCAATGCATCATCTCTGATAGGGGAGTGCAATTTATGTCTGCATTTTGGAAGGAATTTTTATCCCTCTTAGAGACCACTCAGGGACTGACATCGAGCCATCGTCCACAAGGAAATGGTCAATCTGAAAAATTGAATTCAATACTTGAGCAATATTTAAATGTTTTATTAATTTTCAGCAAACAAATTGGACGGACCTACTCCCTTTTGCAGAAGTTGCTTACAATAGTGCAGTCCACTCCAGCACAGGTTACACTCCTTTCCAAATAGCCAACGGTCAAAGTTTCAACCCCATGCCAGAATTAACCCCAAACGAACTGGCGATCCCATCACTGAAAGAATGGATGGAACAATTACAAAACACCTGGCCAATAGTTAGAAAAGCACTAGGTGAAGCGAGGCAGGCATACAAAGCACAAGCCGATAAAAAAAGGGTTGAGCCTACACAATTCATTATAGGTGAAATGGTGTACTTATCTACAAAATACCTAAAGTCTCTATAACCCTGTAAAAAACTTGGACCAAAATATATAGGGCCTTTTCCAATTAAAAGAATCATAAACCCAGTAACAGTAGAATTAGAATTACCCAAAAATCTCAGGCAAATACACCCAATTTTTCATTGCAGCTTGCTGAAAAGAGAGCATCAGTCACCTTTACGGCCAAAAATCCCCCCACCACCACCTCCAATCATGGTGGAGGGTGAACAACACTTCGAAATAAAGGAAGTCCTTGACTCTAAGAGATATCATGGAGCAACTCAGTACCTAGTTGCCTGGAAACACCTCCCTCCCTCACAAAATGAGTGGGTCCATAAACGTCATGTCAGAGCCCCGAAGCTATTGAAGAAATTTCACACAGAGTATCCTAACAAGCCTGACTAAATTTTATACTTGTATTTTCTTTCAGGTGGATCTCTCTTATTTTTAAGAGGGGCCGGATGTCAGAATCCAATCATATTTCATCTTTAATTATCAAATATAGAAACTCCCAATTCTGCCTTCTTTGGATTCTGCCATAAGTGGGAGAGAAGGGGGAGAACAAAAGGGCTTTATGGCCCTCACTTCCTTCAGTAGACTTCAAAGAGCTGAATGCTGAATGTGTGTTTATTGTAACCTATTGTAACCTCAAAGCGTTAACACCAGAGAACATTAGCATTAACAAAGAAGAGTATTTGCCTTTCATGTAGTTATCTGAAGTCTCCATCCAGACGGAAGAAAGAAGAAACGGGGTGGAATTGTGATACTTGAAACTATCACTGGGAAGGTGGGTTGATTGGGTGGGACTACTGGGGAACCCCTTAAAACCTTGAATGGGAGAGCTTGGACCCCAAGTCCTGTCTAGCATGCCTGCAACCATTTTCTCTTAATCAAGGATTCCTTTTGGAAGAACTATTCCAAGAGTTCTGTCTTCTTAAGATGCAAAGTGGGGTGGGTCCTTACAATTTCTCTGTGATGTCAGCAGAGAGAAAGAGGCTGTTAGGCTAAACTTCCTTTTTAGGAAAAGAATCTGGGATACAGATATACAAATAAGTGCACATTTATATCCATGTCAGTATTTCCATACACATGTGCAACCCCAATTAACTGCTGTAGATGCTCCACAGGGCAATAAAGGTTATTCATTCTGAGGTAGAAAATGATCATTTTAGTTGAATTGTTTACGAAATGTAAAACACAGTGGTTCACACAACATGAACCATCTCAATTTTATTTCAATGTATTGGTATTAAACCTGGCTAAGGAATCTAGATAAGGTGGCAATGAAGAAGCCAACCAAGAATTAGATGAATTCATATATTTAGTGATAATTGCCATTATTTAATAGAAATTACATTTTTGCTGTCTTAAGCTTGTGGTAGAAACAGCTGCTGAAGAGATCTAGGGGGTCCTCTCTCCCACCATGAGTAAACCAGACTTCCTGGTCTGGGGAGAGAGAAGC